CACAGACCCTGAAGGCCCCCTCTCTGGGCAGGAAACTGGGGGATTCACATTCTCAGGAAGAGAGGATGGCATTTGTTTGTTTGTTTGTTCATTCAATATGGATAATCCTTCAACCAGGGTCTGAGTTCCTTAAAATCTGGTCCTTTTTTATTCAGTTTTGCCTGGGGCCTAGCACAGTACAAAACCTGCAAAGATGTTTGCTGAGTTGAAATAAAATTGAGTTGAAAACTGACAAAATAATCATTAAAACACAAACAAGGATTTAACTTGCCCAGTTGCTCTGTTCAGATCTCACATCTATACAGATTCCTTCTCTCTCTCTCTCTCTCTCTCTCTCACACACACACACACACACACACATACATTCTTATGAGGGATAATTAATAATTCAGCAAACAATAGTGTATTCTGATATTTAAGAATATAACAATTTAATTGATATTTGTTTCTGCAGCAACACAACAATACCTCACTTTCCCAGAAGGGCAATTTTCTATGGCTGTTCCAGGTTTCTTACAATAAAATAGATCAATCCTGTGGATGCCTGAAGCCCATTTGCTAAGAAAGAAAAATGGTTGGTAATGAGTTCATAACAGACACAATACTGCAATCATTATGTTTTAAACACTGACATTTATTTAAGGTTTTGTGGACTCATACATTATAAGGATAAATTCTAATTTATATCAGTATATAATAGGCAAATATATAATACAATAAATTGCATTTGTACACATAAATACAAAATTTGAGGTAGGGCCTCAAGAATAATGATTTCTTTAAATGAATAATGCACAGTATATAATATGTACTCTATAAGATATATATATGATGCATCATTTATAACATAATATATTTTCTTCATGTACAGTTAAATGAAAATATATAAGGACATCATTAGGGAACATTTCTTTATTCATGGGCAACAGTACCCTCATAAGATGCTTCCATTTAGGACATTATCCAAGTACACAATTTAAGAATTAACCTATTCCTTGATAGGTCCATAATAAAGTGCAAAAAAAAGATCAACAAATGAGAAACAAAACAGCTCCTAGTCAATTACTAAGTATCACTCTAGCAATAAAATACACCTATAAGGCAACTGGCTGTCTGGAGATGTATTTCATCCATTGCAGGCAAATCAAACCACTGCTAACTTTTCAGAAGTGACAAAAACACTTTCTCCTTGGCAGGAGGCTACTCAGAGATGACATGGCCAGAGACCACATCATAATGACTTGGCCTCTCTGAACATCCAAAGCAAAATCTGGAGAAAAGAAAATGCTTCAATTTCACTAATCCCAGGCACACTTTTGGGGAAATAAGTATCAACACTGGAAGTTTTCATTATGATACTTAGTATGAAACAAAGGAAATGCTCATTTGTTCATTTGTTGGCCTTGGCCTTTTGTCCCTGAAACACAACCTGCCGTGCCAAACACCCTCACTCAAGTCATCTCTCTCAAAAAAGCACGTTGCAAACCCAAATCCAGGTGTGACAGCAGCAGTAGGATCTTGCTGTCACACAAATGTTGAGCAATAGTTATTGTACAAGCCTCTGAAAAGAGGACAATGACCTATGACCACAGGAACAAAGAGGAAAGAAAATATGAATTTAAGTAAGGCATGGAAAAACCATGCTGATAGGAGAAGGTGGACAAGAAGCATTGAGGCACATAGATAACACAGCAAAAACTGAAACAAAAAATCAACACTAATGCCATATTGCTGTAAAGACAACCCAAGTCTTAAAGATCTTAAAGATCATTGTGTTAAACTCTTTTTTGAAGTGCTGCTCACAGAAATATAAGTTGATTACATGTCATTTCTTACATATTAAAAACACATTGGAAACTTCAAAGACATTGAGGTCATCAAGATTTTGTATTGACCACAGATTTCATGCAATAAATAAACACACAGGAAAAAGAAACAACTACAAAAGACCAGAATTGGATACATGTGTACATGACAAACACAGCCCTAAAAAGATTCAAAGTTACTAATGTGCAAGACAAATATTTGCATAAGACACTACAACATCAATAGTTAAGAAATACACATTTTTTTTCTTTAAGTATATTAAGGGGTTACTATTTTTCACATATGGCTTGTTTTTCTCTGAATGGGTTTCTGGCATTTGTTAAGTGTCATGAAATAATCTTACAAGTGGAAAATGCCACCCCCCATTCTGCACAGTGAACCAATGAAAGTCTTTCCTCAGCAACTTAGTGTTTTGTTTTGTTTTGTTCAGTTTGAAGAGAAACTCTCAGGTGGCAGTCTATGACAGTGCTATTCATTTTATTTTTATTCATTCATGTTTTTCTTCCAACTGACTATGCATTTTAATAGCATGGAAACAATCCATCTGGTGGTATACATCCCAGCTCTTAGCACCCCAGTCAAGTCCTCGGGAGGCATAACATTGTAGAGATACCATGACTGCAAACAGCTCAAATCCTGAACACGTCCCTGCCAGGGAAAGCCTCAGACTAGAACATGGCTCTAAAAACTGGCGAAGTAAACTTAAAAGGTAATCATTTCTAGGTAAGTTCAGAACATTTCACCTGAGCCTGTCCCTTTAAGCAGATTTAATATGTAACTGAAAAACTGTAGGCAAAGGAAAAATAAAAAAGCCCAGTTGCTCAAGGAACAGCTACTGAGTCTTTTCTGGACAAATCCAAATAAATACAAACATAGCTAACCCCAAATACAAGACACATTAGCTAATGAGGAAGTCTTCATTCCTATAATTAAGTCAACTTTCAGTTTGTACCTGGCAGCATCCATGGGTCTCCCGACCCTTTTCTTTTAATCTCGGCAGCAATAATTAGCAGAAATTGAGTTGGCGTCCAGCATCACACTCAGTTTTAGCCAAAAGGCAAGAGGAAAGCCAAAACCTATGCACCCGGACACAAACAAACCAATCCCGTGAGATAACACTAATTGATTTAAGCTCTTTTCTTCAGCCTTCAAATTAGCAAAGCTGCAAATAATTTCCAAGTATAACATTCCTCCTGCCACCTCACTCCACCAGCTATCAATTGAAGAGGCTGTTAGTACCACCCAGTGACATTGGCACAGGAATGGAGGCTTGTCATCAACATGGCTTTCTTGGGGGAAGACAGGTTATGATGGCAAATAGTGGACAGGTAAGGTCATAGCTCGGCTTCCTAAAACTAAGTTCAGGGGAAGCTCAGTGTTTAGTCTCTGTAATAGTCTGGCAAGGCCTACCTTTGGGAGACAGGGGGAAAGGAGAACAAGGAAGAGGGAAAACAAACACACTGCAGGTGGAAGACATGAAAACCTATAGTTTGAAACCTGGAAAGCAGGACGTTCACATCGTTGTTAGCCAATAGCCATTATACTTGCCCTAGAAAAGGGAGAGCTCGTGAAAATGAATTGGGACACTTTTATACAAATGAAGTCATTTTTTTAAAATGTTACATTAAAATCTATTGTTGGGTTTCATTGCTGTTGAGCAGGAGGAAAATGTCACATCAAAATACAAGATTTGAACTGAAAACTGTGTCTGAGACCCTGTAAGATGAAGACAAATGAGTAAGAAAATGTTTCCTCTAAAGGAAACAATTTTAGGTTTAGATATTAATATTGTAAAGGGGGAACAAAAGCCCAGACTACACTACACTAAATTCACCATCTCTACAGTGATTCATAAGATATTTATAAGGACAGAAAACACCACTACGAGTACACACTACATGAGCACATATCACATTTAAAATTTTTCATATATGCATGTTCAGGATACAAGAAGATAATAAAGGTTACAGCTTCACCAATCTTTGCAGGCACATGATTCGCTCTCATTAGAGTACAGTTACAATGAGCACTGTGCATAGGGAACTCTTAAAATTGAATTGGTTAAGTGTAGTCTTAAAAGCTATAGTCTTAATTGGCTTGCTCACTACTTACCTAAGCTGCATTTATCAGACATTTCTGTAAATACAGTGACCTAAGATGTGCAACCAGAGCAGTGAATGTTGGAGTGGCTTTCTACTAAACCCTTTATTTCTTTGATTTCTCTAGGACCACAACTGGCATTTACTGTGAATGAAAAAGAGTAAAAATTGAGAAAGTATCTTTTAAGAGTTTGTGTCCCATGTATATATAATATATAGACAGAACCAGGTTAAGTCTTGTTTTCTCAGAGGTTGAAAAACAAGGTATCTACAGCTTATAGAAAGACATTTAGAGAAGAAACCACACAGTTAGCATGAACCACAGTGCCCAATGTCATGGAGAAGCTAGGATGGAGCTCTACTACAGACATATAAAATTAGGCACAAATTATAGGATGGCTTCTTGTGCAAAGGTGGAAGAAATGACCAAAAGAAGTCACAAATGTGAAGGAGAAAGAGAAAGGAGGAGGAGAACAAAGAGGAGGAGGAGAAGGAAGAGGAGAAGGAGGAGGAGAAGGAGAAGGAGGAGAAGGAGGAGGAGAAGGAGGAGGAGGAGAATGAGACAAAGAAGGAGGAGGAGAAGAAAGGAGGAGGAGGAAGAGAAGGAGAAAACTGAAAGAAAATGGATGTTTCACTCAGACCCAGAGTGTACAGAGAGTGAAGTATCTGAGTTTGTAGAACACTTGATCCAAATGAAGGAAACAGATACCCAGTTGTGAGTGGAAATACAAGCTTAACCATCTCAGTGGTGTCCAAATCTACTAGCATTGCCTTACATCCCAAACAATTTCTGGCCACTGCTGTTCTGAACATTTTGCATCTGAATAAAATCACTACATTTCTCAATTCCGCTCTACAATGCTGACAAGTCCAAACTAACAGTCCTGAAATTCTGCCATTCTCTGCATGCCTTACTGGCTCCCTGCAATGACAACACACAGTGGACACTTTTCTATCCACCAAACTAGCATACTTACCAGTGCTCACTTATTCAACCCACCCCTGTGGATGAAGCATGTGTTCAGAGGACCAACCCTTACTGAAAGTGACACCATGGAAACAGGCAAGCAGCGCTTTCAAGTGGTCCATGTGGCTCTCACTATAGCATGCGACACTATGTCCTACTATTCTATGTAACACTCTCATGCATGGCTGTGAACCAAGATGTGGGGAAAAAGAATAAGAAAAATGGGAGCAAAGCTTGGGAATATCTTAGGGAAAGGCAGAGAGGAAAAACAGGATTAAGTCTGGACTATTCCCCACCATTGGACTAACACTGGGTGCCCATTTCCAAATCCTTTACTGGCAGTTTGAGTCCCAGAGAAGAAGTTCCCAAAGGGTCAATCATGTTCTTGTAACGATCCCCACGATGTTTAGCCAGGAACGGTCCCCAGTCTGGCTGTGGCGAGCACACCAACTTGAGCCTCTACAAGGAAGTCAAAGACACACATGGTTACAGAAGTAATGATAATGAACCTTTGCTGGGCACCAGTGGCTACTCAGGAGGCAGAGATCAGGAGGATCACACTTTGAAGCCAGCCTGGGCAAGTAGTTCATGAAACCCTGTCTTAAAAATACTCAACATAAAACAGGTCTGGCAGAGTGGCTCAAGTGGTAGAGCACCTGCCTAGCAAGCATGAGGCCCTAAGCTCAATCCCCATTACCACCAAAAAAAAAAAAAAAAAAAAAAAAGTAATGAACCTTCCTCCCATAGGGACCACCCACCATCCCCAATCTGCTTATAACCACTTCTCCCTGCTAGAGCCAAGAGGCCCCCCACAAGACAGACAATTTGGAAGATTAGCCCCCATTAATTAACTAGGCCAAGGACAATAAAGAGGAAACTCAATCTGGTTCACTTGAAATTATTTATATCACCCTGCAAGGAATATTAAATTGCTCCATGTTTACCTTGCACTAGATTAATAGAGGCCCAGATTTTAATTATACATTTTCCCCTCCAAATGAAGAGAATTCATGAGCTTCTATCTTCACTGCCAAACACACTCGGCAAAAGACACACACTCAATTACTTAGGTTCTGGAGTCTCAACAGTAGGTTGCTACATCAAAATAATTGGATTTTGGTTAACATATTTCCCAAAAGTATATAAATTACCAGGAAAAAAAACAAACCAACCCCAAAGATACATTGCTAAGAGTGAGGGAAGATTTTAGTTATTTGTTGACAAAAATATATGCTTGTGACTTGGTTCAGAAATGTGGGTTCTTATAGGCAAGCTAAAAATAATGGGACTGTCTCAACTCCTTCTACTGAAATTTTTATGGAAAACATAATTTGACTGGAACATCTTCTAGAAAAAGAAAAGAAAACATATTTCCAACTATATAAGAGGGAATAATTATGTTTATTACCTATTAAAGTGAAGCTGGTTCTTATAGCTGTTAGTTTAATCTCCCCTTAATTATCAGTTTGCAACCTTTGTGTCCCAAATCAACCATAATAAATTTATATAGCCAAATCATCAGTTTAGAGAATTCCAGTCTAAGAAACAGTAGCAGATGCTGTACCAGGTTCTGTTCAGGAGAAAATTACAGCGTCTGTTGTGGGAAGTTGATGTGGGACTAGAGTGAGCCATCCCTGGGGGTGAATAGAGCCACAGTTAATTTCCCTGAAGACAGCACGCAATCTTGAATGCTGCCTCAAGAAGGAGACTCCTATGCCTACCCTTACCAACTCTGTCTCCATCTGTAGGTCAATGAAAACAAGTTACCTACTCCTAAGTGGACATTTGTGTGGTGCACTTATTATGCACCTTATTCCCTGCTTCTCTGCTCTAAAGTTTCTTTGCTTTAGCAATCTGGCTGCCCAAGAGCAGCACCCACACAGCTGTTCCCCTCTGCTCTCTGTCAAGGGTGTTGTACTTCTTGATTTAGTCCAGTGCTTTGAAAATTTGAGCATGTAAGTGAATCACCTGGAGGTGATGTCAGCTTTCCATTTCCCCAAAACCATGGTTCAATGTTGCTGCCTGGAGGCTGATCCAACAAGCCCCCAGGTGGTCCCTGGACCAAGTCCAAAGTAGCACCAGTCAGGTCCAAAATTCCAGATCCTTGTACCTTGAAAACAGAGGCAGAACTGACTGATTCTTAGCACAATTGAGAAAGTGTTGTTCATAAGTAACAAAGGTCTGACCATTCTTTACCAATAGCTCAAAAAATGGTAGTCCCCTTCCCATCCACTCTAGGATGGAGCTGATTATTTGTATTACAAAAGGGAGATGGCTCCAGCAAGGGATTGATTGATAAAGAAAGACAGACAGGTCTCACCTCATTCTAGCCATGTCCTGCATTGTGTGTGAGTCATGTGTGTGTGTGTGTGTGTGTGTGTGTGTGTGGTACTGGAGTTTGAACTCAGGACCTCATGCTTGCTAGGCAGGCACTCTACCACTTGAGCCATATCTCCAGTTCTATATTTTTGCCTTTAGTTAGGGTCTCATGTTTTTGCCCAGAGCCAGCCTCAGATTGGATTGGGATCCTTCTATCTATGCCTCCCATGTAGCTGGGATTCCAAGCATGCTAGCTTGTTTTGTTGAAAATAAGGTCTCACTAATTTTTTGCCCAGGGTGGCCACAAACCACAATTCTCTGAATTCCCATCGCCTAAGGTACTGAAATTATAGGCATGAGCCACTACCACCACCCTCATATCCTGGAATTTTTAGTAAATTCTACAAAAACAGTGACCTTTTAATCAGCTTAGACCCTTCAGTCATTCCTAACATAGGGACCACAGAAGGGGCTGGTGATTTTAAATTTAATGGTAATAAATGTTTGGGAGGGAGGAGGCTTGGACAGAGAGGAACATCGGGAAATGAGAATCTGATATACAATTAAAAACCGAACACTGAGATTTAAATTGTGGATGAGGGGAGAAGAGGAGGAAGCTCCAGGAAAAAGGAGACCCTCAGATCACTGATTTCCCAGATCTGTCACCACATTGAGGAACAGCATAATAACAGCTCAGTTGAGCCCTGCATTACAAGACTAATACATAATCAGAATGGGTTTAAAAGAAACAGTGGCAAATGTAATCACTTAATCACTGAATCTCCCTTTTGAATAAGTTTACTGAATCTTTTGTTCTTAATGCACGGAGCTTTTAAGGCTCTCCCTTGGGAACGGATAGGATAGCAGGAGAAAGGAGCAGGTAGAATTACCTCAATAAATCTGCCAGGGGCCAGATGCATTTTTATCACAAACATAATTGGGATCCAAATAACGGAACAGGCGAGCATTAGCCATCCGAGCACCATGGACCAGTTAGGGTAGCGGTAAGAGCCATAGGTCATGGGCTCCCACTGGTAAAAGCTGAAGCAAAGGATAAACTGGGAAGAGAAGAGAAACACACTTGTTAGGGTGGTGATGGGAAAGGTTTATCCTTCAGCAGGTACGTGCTGAACCTCTGTTAGGAGCTTGATGCTTTCATTTTTGCTATCTCGTTTTATATCAATGTCTGCCCCGAAACGGAATTTTCCAAATGAAGACACTGAATTTCAAAGAGGCAAAATGACGCGCACTAAGCAGCTGCCGGATAGGAACTGAACCACGCATGCACATGGCTATACACAGACAGGCTGAGAGGACCAACCAGGAGGAGCTGCAGCAAAGTGACTTAATGAGTAATGGTGGGAAGGGGGATGGTGGGAGTTTTTAAGGGGTTGTCTATTCTTCCTATAATGGATAATCAAGCTTTTGTTACAAGGAAAAAAAAGCTATGTTAAATTTATGTGTTTTAATTTTTTTTTAAATTGGCTTTCTTCTTGAATGGGGAATGGCCCACGTCCAGACTTGCTTTGAAAGTTGGCTGAGTGAGACCCAAAGTGGTCCCCAAGCAGTGACTAAGCCAGAAGCCTGGTCCAATAATAAGCTATGGGACAAAGAGAGTGCGCAGCTCCCCCTCAACTGACTCAAGGTGAACGGGTGTCATCACCAAGCTGTGAGCGAGAGCCCAGAGACCAGCAGGCTAATCTTGGCTCTGCCACTAATTAACTGAGGGACTTTTATGTCTCAGACTTCTCTGCTGTGAAATGGATATATTTCACACCGTGGATAGAGCACAGGGTTTTCTGGAAACAATAATGTGGTAATTACTCAAGAGTCCCCTTGATTTTAAGAGAGGTCATGATTTATTTTCTGCCCATTGTCTCCTATCACTGTACACATGGGCTGGCAACAGCCATAAGATTCCTCTGAAGGCTTGGCCAGTGCAGCTGAAGAAGAACAGGGAATGCATGCACTGAAAAGAGTGGCTCCTACAAAGATGGAGCACAAGTTCTAACTGCTCTAGCCAAGCCTCTTTTTGAAGGGGAAGGCAGTTGCCTAAGAAAAATCACATGCCTCTCTGAATTCATCCTGCCTAGCTCAGCATCAGTTCTGTCCCCATCTCCACCTCTCCCATCCTATCTTAAGCTGTAAAATAACTACCCAAAAATGAGTGGAGGGAATTGTCAGGAAAAGTAACATATGGAAGTGTTTTGGAAAAGCGTGAAGCACTGTAGAAATGTAAAGCACCAATATTATTGTAGCAAAGCCCAGGCCGTCAGTGCAAGTGATTATTTCCAGGCAAAAATAATTCAATATATTGATTCAAAGCAACATGAGCCTGAAGACAACTGTTGAAAAAAATGCTCCTATAGAAAGAGATGTCTACTTTAGGCCCCTTTTTAAACATTTGCCGTAGAGTTATAAGCTTTATTAACCAGTTTATTGGAAGTATGGCCTAATGTAATTATGGTAAGCTGCTCCATTTCATTTACTATATAAATAGCAGTACATCTGCTTATGTGTGTGCATAACTCAGTAACGTGATCTGACTAGGTATACAATAATTGCCTGGAGAATATTTATAGCTCTATAAATCCTTGAAGGCACATATAAAAATGATCAATTTTATTTCAGGGGCTCTGAAGGAATTTAAACTCATAATCTTAGCCTATTCCAGCACACCACAAATATCCATTTTACAGAAGGGTAAATGGCAAGGGATAAGTAGGGCATGGCCTTTTGACACTCATTTCCAGTTGCACAACTATCACATCAAACTTCAAGGCATGAACTTGGTCTTTGCCATAAATTTCCCTCTGCCAAGTAAGCTTTGATAAAACCCTGTTGTCAAATGGACCTAGCCATGAGAGATGGGAATTTAGTCACAAGGTCAGGTCCACTCTGACCTTTCACTGATTATAGCCAAAGAAAGCACTGGAGAGACTCCTTGGTTGATGACGATGATGGAATTGTCTGTTTCTACTCATCCCTGACTTCAAAACAACACAAATGGAAGTATGGTTCAAGATATTTTCTGGGACCTCTCCACAACTTTCTACATGAGTTTTATAATGGAAATCTATTAAAACACCAGAGTTAAGGAACTATCTCAAAAACACAGCAAGTCCATGGAATTCCTCTTCCCTATTCATAAAGATAAGGACTGTTTTAACCCAAGCTGCCCAAACTTCACCTGGAGATGAGAGCCTGGGTTTTTAGAAATGTATAAACCTAGATAGCCCTGGATAGTTTTTGACTCTGTAAGCCTTGTGGTCTTAGGCAAGTTCTTTGACCTCTCCATACCTCAGTATATGAATCAGCCACCAGGCAGAGTGGTCATGAACTTTAAACATGATGCTGAGGAAGTTCCTGCTTCATTACAGACCTCCACACATAGTAGTGCTGATTATTTTTTGTGTGGTGTGCGTCTGCAGAATATAAAAAAATTCTCTGAAGCTTAAATTCTTCCAGGACAGCAGTTGATGGAACACAGAATCTAGAACAGATTCTAACTTTGACTTAGCTAATAATAAACCATGAGGAGTAGAAGGGGTGGGGGAGGTGAAGCTCTGCAGACACAGAACACTGTACCCAGAGAGAGAGTTTCTCCATCAACAGAAGGCTCCCATGGGTGTTTTCTTCCCACCACTTAGATAAATCCCAGTTCTTCATGCACATTTCAGTCCTGAACTAAGAGATAGAAAACCTATCTTAATCCTTTTCAACTCCCATGCTCCAACTCTGGTGGGACTTTTCAAACAAATTACAGACTCTAAAATATAGGTACAGATGTGGGTGTGGTGTCTGTGTTGATGCAGAAAGAATGTTGAATGGCTTTTGTATCTAAACTTCTAGCTTTTCAGAAAAAAATTGAGGCGTTTTGGTTGAAACTCACTCTGTGACAGTAAAAAAAAGAATGAAAGAAAGAAAATTTATTTTTTCTTTGCATGTACTTTCATCTGTCCTGTCTTGTGTTTCTTAAGCAAAGCTGGTTGTCAAGTAGTAAAATGAGGCTCTTAATCTGGTTTATATTGCCACCTTCTGGGTCAAGCAGAAATTACAACTTCTTCCCGCTTTGCCAACATGACAAGGACAAGAAGCCAGAAAGGCAAGATCCCCATTAATTACTGTGCTTGGAGAACAGAGCAAGATCAAACTGACATCTTATGGCACAATAACAAAGGTGACAAGATGTGAATGTAAGTCCCTGTGCAGATTTACTGACACAGGAAAGGCTCTGATCTTTAAAAAGATGAATGTCAGATGATCCTAAAATGTCATCTTCACACTTGAGGATGACAAGATAGTCTGCAAAAGCAATAAGGTGAACAATAAAAGTCTAATTAATGCAATATTCATTGTAGGGCAGCTGTATTGAACAGTGGTTAGAAGCATGAGTATTGGAGCTGTACTGCCTGGGTTCAAATCTGGCTGTCGCTAATTAATAGGTGTACAATGCTAGGCCAGTCATAATATCAATCCCATCTGCAAAATTGAGATAATTATAATGCCAGCTTTGCAGAGCTGTTGTGACAGATAAATTATATATACAAAGCACCTTGAACAGAAAATGGCTGGCACATAGTACACATTGGTTATGACTGCTACCTGCTGTTGGCACATAAGGCAGACAGATATAATGGGACATTTCCACATAGAGGTGCTGCAGAAATCTATGCATTAATCCCAACTGTGCACCTGACGAGCCAGGTACCTTTAGGCAAGTCATTTCACCTCTCTGAACTTTAGTTTCCTCAGCTGAAAGACAAGGATATACCCATTCCACCAGGGTCCCCGGCTTACAGGGAGGCACACACTTGTTCAAATGCAAAATGTTATTAGCATGGAAAAGTATACAGTTCTTACAGTTAAAATGGTTGGGGTTACAAATGCCCAGCAGACTTTCCAGAAAATGTTGGGTTGGAATCCAATCATCATCTCTATATCTTCACAGAATCTTTGCAAGCCTGCAAACAGACAAACAGACAAGCAGAGACCAAGTATGAGGTGCATGGCAGGGTTTGAGGAGGGGGTAAGGGACTGGGGACAGGCACTAGAGCCCTTCACTCAAATACCATTGGCTAGGGATGGTCCCAACCTGGTGTTAATGTGACCCTTATCATGTAGAAAACCATTAGACAAATGACTCATTGCCAAGATTAGGGCCAATTGAACATTTAAATAGATACTAAATACTCTGCAGTGAGGTTCAAAAATGTCACTGTGACAGCTAAAGCCTCAGTTCCAGCCCAGCCCAGGTGTCTTAGTGCTGCCACACCCTGGCATATTCATGTATGTGGCTATTTTGTGAGGCAGCTTATGAGCTTAGTGACAAGTCTGGCAAAACCAATTAAGAGTGTGGTCAATAAAGAGAGTATATTATGAAGGCCTCAGGATTTAAAGTGAGAGTCACTGTACATTGAAGTTTTTTTGTCCCCCACCCTTCCAAGAACATTCTTCCAGTGCATTCATTTATCTTTGTGCTGTGTAAGAGGATCATAACAGGCAAAAAAAAATACTACTGTAAATTCAAAGTGGCCATCACCTACTTTGTTGGCTGGAAGGACCGGTTCTTGGTCACTTCAGTAACTTCAGTAAAGTAAAATGCAGAGGATAGTTATTCTCTGGCCCCACATAACCACCATCGCTACACCCTCTTAGTTTGGAAAGGTTTTTTAACCACTCCTTGGAAGGAAAAGCCATTGACAAATGGTTTAGAATTGAGCAGTTTCCCACATTCTTCACTGAACTTAGAAGAGTGTCTTTCTTAGAACGGTGGAATCTATATGTTAATGGAATTCAAAAGGCCCCTGAGTTCAATCTCCTTTATATTCAACAGGTCTGAAAATTCATCCCACTGTTACATTCAAGACAAGTGCTCCTTGTAGAGAAAATGGAATCCTAGCACTATAGGTGAGGATATAAATTGTGGAAATAGCCATTATGGAAAATCTTCTGGAGGTTGCTCAAAAAACTAAAACTAGAGGGCTAGGGGAGTGACTCAAGAGGTAGAGCACTTGCCTAGCAAGCACAAGAACCTGAATTCAAACCCCAGGGCTGCCAAAAAAAATCAAAATCAAATAGTTACCATATGACCAGCTAGTCCCACACTGGGAATATAGCCAAAGGATTTTAAATCAGTGTGTTGAAGAGACATCTGCACTCCCATGTTTTTTATATCATTATTCACAATAGCTAAGTTATAACATTGACCTAAGTATTTATCAACCAATGTAGAAATAAAGAAAACGTGGTATATGTAGACTTTGGAATGCTTTCTGTCTTTAAAAAGAGGGAAATTACATCATATGCAGCCACATGAATGAACCTGCAGGACATTATCTTCCAGGCACAGGAAGATAAATGCCACATGCTCTCACTTACACACAGAAACTTACAAAATTACTCTGGTAGGAGTCAAGAGCAAAATGGTGGTTACCAAAGGCTAAGGGATAGAAGGATGAGGTGGTGTTAGTCAAAGGGAACAATGTTGCAGTTAAAGGAAAAAATGATAAGTATTTGAGGCAATGAATTTGTTAATTAGCCTGATCCAGTCATTACACATTGTACACATATATCACACTATCACTTTGTAATTTATAAATATATGTAATTATAATTTGTCCACATCCAACAAAAAAACATAAATAAAGTTATAATTTTTAAATATATATACTTCTTATATGAATGTTAGACTTCAATTTTAAAGTTTACCCAAAATATCTATTCTAGTCACCACCATCAAAATAATGGATCTGGGATCATTTAAGAGCCTCAGTTTCTTACTTTTGCTTCTACTTCCTGCCAAGCTCAGAGTCAGAACAAGCCAGTTCTCATCACTGAATCTCCAGCCACTACCCCCTCCCCAACAAAAGCCACTGCAGAGGACAGCTAGGACTTGAGCTTTCTATAGAGCGGCCTGTACCAGGAAAAGCTTAGAGACTCACCAAAGGCAACTTTTCTCAAGTCACTCTGTAATTCCTCAGGTTGCATCTGAGCTTCCTGCTCTACATAAAGTTAAGTCAAACAGTTGTCATCCATGAAAGAGGTACAGTGGAAGAAGCACTGCACTAGGAATTAGAATCCAAGAACTAGACCCCAGTTCTGCCTTTACCTCATTGTGTGACCTCAAGTGAGGCCTTTCTCCTTGCTGAGCTTTTGATGGTTTATGGAGGGAACATGGCTAAATGAGCTCTTGGAACCTGTCCAGAGAAGTCAGTCCATGGTGCAAGAAGGTTCCAGTCTACTTCTTTGTGGTCTATAGCCATGACCTGAATGCTTTGAACAGTGGACCCCACCAACTTCAGATTTGTTTTCTTACTTGTTTCCTTTAGTGTTTTATCAAACACCTTCAAATAAGTGACCTCTGAATACTAGGCCCGTTAGGCATAGGGAGATGAGAAAACCAAAGAAACAGAAGTCAAAATAGAGGCCCTCAAAAACATACCAAAACACTGAATGTAGGGTTCACTCAGAGAGAGAAAATTTGGTTCTAGAAACTTCTGTTATCAGCATCAATCCTGTTGTCAAGTTCTTCCTCTCCACTATACCATTCCAAGGGATGGAGATGTATGACTTGAATGGAGACACTGAATGACTTGGCAGGGTTGAGGTTAGACCTGAGGAAGATAGCTTGCAGCCTTCTCTGGGAAGAAGTAGATTGTGGTATTAGTGCTAAAATTTTCCCAGAGGGGACAAAGAGCTGGACCCCAAACTGTACAGAGGGATGGATGATGGGTGTTCAGTTTGCAGCAAGAGGCAGCTTGATGCAAAGAAGCCATTCTGGCACTAATTGTGAAAAGGCTTGAGTTCCAGTTCAGATCCTAAAAAGTCATCTTCCTCCCTGGGCCTAACACAAGGGATCTAGACACCTGGCCTCTGCCTAGGATAGCTCTAGATCTTAGAAGTTCTATTTGCCAACTTGTAAGCTGGACCTGCAGACATCAGCCGGTGCCAATGGGCAATCTTCCTGCCCTGTGCCCACTCCTAATCCAAGCTCTCCAATCCTCCAACCTCTGCCTCCCTCTAGTTCCCATCTAGCACCAACCCTCTATCCCCTGCTTCACCAGAGTCCCCAACAGAATCATTACCAAGCCAATGATTATCCTCACTTTGGACTTTACATGGCTCCCCTGCCTGCTCTGTGCTTGCCACTGATCCAAGTTCATCTTGCCTTCAAGACCTAACATATGATGAGAAAATTGTTTGTGGAGCCTTGAACATGTTAAAGTGACTTGTCTTCAGCATGACCTTGAGCCTGGGTAAGGTAACTCCAAAAGAATCAGAATGGCTACTTCTCTGGGAAAAAAACAAAAGGTGGTAAACTCATGGCTATTTTTCTAGACTCAACGAACAGATGTGAGACTCAGAAATCAGGCCACAACAAGCCCCATACTGACCAATACTGAACTGGAAAGTCAAGCACTTGCTTCAATTGACCAATCACTTTCCCCTGTGCAGCTCTGGGCCCTGTCTTTATAAACCACACTTTTGCCCTTTGTCTGGATATAGTCTTTTTGAGGACTGCTTTTGGAAAGAGCAGCTTCCTGATGCTTGAGCTGTGACACTGCACCTGGTTTAATTCTCTCCTACCACCACCTTGAAATTCTCAATAAATTTTTAACCAGAGACTCTCCATAGGTCCACAAATTATGGCTCCAGTCTGGTGTGTCCTGTGGACAAGTTATTCTTTTGTGGTCAATATTAAGGCACCCCTCTCCCCATCCCTGAGAGTCAAAAGTCTCTGTGCTAACTAGGTTTTCCCTGCCTTGGTTGGGAACTCAGCTTAACATTACCTCAGTCTCAGGGGTCATTTCTCTTATATTCTTTTGGCCCTTAGACACCATTTGGACAGCAAAAGGGCTCACAGTCAGGGGGCTCAGCTTAGAACTGACTTTCTGCTCAGTGTTCTAAGTGTGCTGGCTCTCTTCCTTGGTGGTTACCTGGCAAGTCCCATGAATGTAAGAAATTACCCTTTCCTCCCCATTTTTCTAAGAACATACAGGGCACACAGTAGGTACTTAATAAATACCTGTTCATGAATCCACACATATTCACCTGCATGAGTTAGTAATGAACTGAAACCTGTCATTCCTAATGCTTACTGAGTTCTGGCAAATGGACATTGGCACCCTACATCCTGAAATGGGAGGTGTACACAGGTCATTTCAGCCAAAAATCTTTAGTGAAAAATGGGGCTCAGCTTGGATTTGCAGAGCTCTGGGGCGACTTTTTGTTTTTGTTTTGTTTTCTTTCTTCTTTTATATTTAAAAAAAATCTTACTGAGTTCAGCCAGTAGGATGGGCAACCAGAACTAAAGACACACATATTCCATCTTGTAAAATCCATTGCCTGGTGGAAACATAGCATCCCTCATGAGGGTGTGGAGGGAGACAGTCTAAGGTGGGATGTGACTGAAATGGAGAACAGATCAAGATCATTTCACAGTGAGATGTAGAACAGCAGTTAGCAGGCTGAACATCTGGGAAAGAGCTATTTAATCACATTGTTCCTCTAGCCAGCCAGAAGGTCCCTGCACAGGCTCCTGGGAAAGTGGAAATCACTTTTTCAAAGTGACTCTATTTGGGTAAAAGTCAGCTAAAGTGATCATTCCTACATCAAACTCAGGGAGTTCTACTTTCAAACCAGGACAACTTCAACCTAGAGATTGCTCTTTGAGGTGTGCTGACTGAGAACTTCAACCTAATGGTAATACTAGAAGATCATGGCCACCATATAGCAAATGTTTGAGTGGCATCTTTTAAAACTTAGTGATTATTAGAAATCTGTGGAAAACACAAATCCACTTGCTTATTTTTTTTAAATTCTGCAGCCTGGAAGGTAATGCACCAAGTCAGTCAGCTTCATTTTCATTCTTCACACATTCATGTTCAACTGCCTTATACTAACCTCATACTAGTTTGGGGCCTCATCGTCTCAGTTAAGAATGTATTATCATCAGGGGTACAATTTATATATTCGTGCAGTTTTCCTTTTCATATCTAGCAATTATGTTAACTCATCTCAACTATTTCTTCCTGAGGTTTACTTTTTAAAACTTGATGAGATCCAAGTCCATCCTGAACCCAGCATAGAGTCAAGCTAATTCTGGAGGCTGGCCCAAAACCCCAAAGCCAACACCCTTAGAGACCAGGGGATTTTCTGTTCCCAGGAAAGTTAGCATAGACTAAGGTATGAAGCACTCAGAATTTATTTATTCCTTCAAAATCAAGAGATCTAGTACCAGATTTATACAAGGGAAGGGAGAGGTAGTTATTTAACATCTAAACACAGAAATGTTAAAAGGTTTCTATTTTAATGATGCTTTCAAACCATACTGAATGCCTGTTTTACAAGAAAGAACTGTGCAAATGTGCCTTTTGTGGCAATTAGCAGTTGGGAAGTAGGTAAGGGAGACAACTGTGTGCACTTGAGCCAGTGCCACAAATAAAGTGCTCTCCTGATTTTACAGACAGATCACCTGGTGACTCCAGCTTACATGTGGACCCACCTTACATGACATTTCCTGGTGAAACCTCAAGTGGTTGAGTTCCAAAGGAAGACCTGAGAGACCTCCTCAGACCTTTAAGTCCCAGGCCTTTGGTATCTGGGCAAAATGTTCAGATTCACTGCAGTGAATTTGACTGGGCTTCTGCCATTTTCTGCTCAGGTAGAAAGCACTTTGAAGTCTCACCCTGAGTTTAGCAGCAGATCATCAATCACATCATCACTGCAGGGTCCAGGCTTCTTATCTGCCAAAAGTGTTGGCAGCTTAGTCTCTGAACTCACTAGGGCAGCTGGCATGTCTGCCCATGCCTCTTGCCAGGAACTAAACTCTCCCTGCACTTGGGATATGATCTCTAGTCTGAGGAAAAAAAAGTGTCTTCAACTAATACCCAAAATGATTGCAGAATCTACCTGTTTCTGGGATACCCAAATTTTACATTAAAGGTTTCCATTTTATATCTTGATTCCTGCCCATCTTCCTCCATTTTAATGAGTTTTCCAAGAAATCAAAAAACTGTTGAGCACCTGTTAGTAAGAGGCTAACAGTTCTGTACTAGTATCAACTCAAAGTGGATTAAGGACCTTAATATCAGATCTGAAAGTCTGAAGTTAGTACAGGAAAGAGTAGGGAATACTCTGGAAGCAATAGGTATAGGCAAAGACTTCCTCAGTAGAACTCCAGCAGCCCAGCAACTCAGAGAAAGGATGGACAAGTGGGACTACATGAAATTAAAAAGCTTCTGCACAACAAAAGAAATGGTCTCTAAACTGAAGACACCACCCATAGAGTGGGAAAAAATATTCACTGGCTATACATCAAACGACTGATAACCAGAATATACAGGGAGCTCAAAAAACTAAACTCCCCCATAATCAACGAACCAATATAGAAGTGGGCAACCGAACTAAACAACTTTTTCAAAGAAGAAGTCTAAATGGCCAAAGAACACATGAAAAAATGCTCACTACCCCTGGCCATAAAGGAAATGCAAATCAAAATCATACTAAAATTCTACCTCACTCCTGTTAGAATAGCTATCATCAAAAACACCATCAACAACAAATGTTGGCAAGGATGCAGGGGGAAAAGGAACCCTCATCCACTGCTGATGGGAATGTAAGCTAGTAAAACAATATGGAGGCTTCTTAAAAAACTAAACATAGACCTGCCATATGATCCAGCAATCCCATTCCTAGGGATCTACCCAAAGGAATGTGACTCAGGTTACTCCAGAGGCACCTGCACACCCATGTTTATTGCGGCACTATTCACAACAGCCAAGTTATGGAAACAGCCAAGATCACCCACCACTGATGAATGGATTAAGAAAATGCAGTATTTATACACAATAGAATTTTACTCAGCCACAAAGAAGAGTGAAATTTTGTCATTTGTAGGTAAATGGATGGAACTGGAGAACATCATCTTAAGTGAAGTTAGCCAGGCTCTGAAGGCCAAAAATTGCATGTTCTCTCCCTCATATGCAGATTATAGACCTAAAACAAATGCAGTAATATCATTGGACATGGGTCACAAACTAAGGGGAGAATGCATACAGGAGAAATAGGAAAAAGGAAGGAAACTTAATACATGAAAGTGTTTGATGTGCCCACTGTAGAAGAGCTAATAAAGTAATCTTAAACTGACAGAGGTCACTATGGGAAGTAGTGAAGAGGTCAGGTAGAGATGAATCAATTCAGGTTGTAATATACTTGTGCATGGAAACAATGCTGGGAATCTCTTTGTATAGCTATCTTTATCTCAAACTAACAAAACTGCTATATCTTTTTAATTATCTCCTATGTTTTCTCTTCAACAAAATTGGAGAAGAGGGGAGAACAGGTTCTGCCTGGAAGCCAGGTGGAGTAGGGGCAGAGGGAAGGGGCAGGGGGAAGTGGGGAGAAGTGGCCCAAACAATGTATACACATATGAATAAATGTATAAACAATAAAAAAGAGGCTAACAATTACATTAAAAGCAAGATGTTCATAACAAGAACACAGCAGTTAGAGTGAGTTTTCCTGGGCACCTACTTTCAAGGCAGAGTTCTGTAGACACCTCTGGTCTAGACCCTTCTTTCTTTGGGCTCCTGGTGGTACATTTGAGGGTACCTCATCCTGCACTCCTCGCTACATCTTGTATTTCTTTTTAGCTTAAAGCACATTACTATCTCTATGAAGATTTGAAATATAGTTAGTCTTCCTTGTATTTGCTATGGTGGCCTTAGTCTAGGGACAGTCCTAAGTAGACTTCCAGGCACAAAGAAGTCAGTAGTGCCTGAAATCCAACAGGGCTTCCTTGTGCTGACTGACTGACAATGTACATAAGGAGACCACCAACGAAGCTCCAAGGACAAACACCTCTGCAAAGATGACATCTAATGACTCATCACTCCTGTTATTCTTTATAATGGCTCCACTGATTCTGGGATGCGGGTGGCTATGGTGATGGTAAAAAGAGTAAACTATTAGGGAACTGAAAGTTTATTCCTGGAAACCCAAGGTTGAAATACTGTACCACAAATTCCCCTGATAACTAACAAAGTGTCCTAAGGATCTATGAACCACATGGTCTCTATCCTCACTATAATATCCAGGGCCAGTGCAAAGCTACCCTTCACCTCAAGCTACATGGGCATTAAGAAATAATTTCATGAGACTAGGATATAGCTCCAGTGGTACAGTGCTGCCTAGCAAGCTCAAGGCAGTGAGTTCACTCCCCAGTACCATCAAAAAAAAAAAAAAGAGAGAGAGAGAGAGAGAAATAATTTCACAACTGCAAAGTTGCCCTCTTCCTCCATTATCTGCTTACTGGCCACAGTGTTAACTGTTCACATCCCAGACCATACCCAAAGGCCAGATCCTAGGAGTTTCTGACACAAAGATTTCTGAGTATCACTATCAACCACCTTTTGTTTCTCTATTAAATCTGGATCACAGCTGTCCTAGGAAGTAAAGGCGCAATTAAATCCTTTAAATATTCCTGTTTGCCAGGAATGCCTTCCCAACACTGGAACTCTACTTTGGCAGCACACACACTGACTTCCTTACCGTACACATAGGAGATCCCAACAAGCTCAAAAATGGCTATGATGACAAGGGCATAAGAGGCAGCATACGTGTCCACCAGCTGGAACATGTAAATTCCACCCTAATAGGAGAGAGAAACAGCCAACATCAAATGGGGTCTGGAGCTGGGTTCTGTCTTCCCACTTCTAACAACCAATCCTCTCCATGCTGAGGTCAGGAGCAGACTGGAGTCAAAGAATTCACCTCTTCTCTATACCAGTAACCTACATCTGGTCAAGGATGTAAACTGGACACTTTGCCAGGTTAGCAAAGCTGACCCTTGACAGACTGAATTAATCAATAAAATAAGCACACACATGCACACAAAAAGTGATGTGTCTTATTTTTCAAAGGCAAAATTCACCATCTGAAGATGTATTGGTGAAAACAGCTGGAGTTCTTCCTTTTTGCTATAAGGAATTGATGATCATTTCTATTTGAGTATCTTCATTTAATTGACCTTCATGTGACCTTTAGGTATCGTTGGGCATTCCTCACATATCCATGAATCTCCACCTTACTCTTTAAGTTTCCCTATGATAGATGAGACTTAGAAACCACCTCATTCCAATCCATCATTTTACAGATGCAGAAACTAATACCCAGAGTAGTGACTTGCTCAAGGTTAGAAAGATAGCAAGAACAATGTTACTGAGGTAATGTTCAATTTACCAAGACAGTCAGGATTAGAAGGAACTCAAGTGACTATAGACTTCTGTATATGAACAAACAAATTGGAAAGTTTTCTGATTGGTAAATTTGGATTTTTATGTTTTCCACTTTCTCTTTTCTTTTCTTTCTTTCTTCTATTTTTTTGGTCATGGTCTCACTATGAACCCCAGGCTGGCCTTGAACTCCTGATCATCCTGCTTCTACCTCCAATGTGCTGGAACTTCAGGCCTTTGCCACTATGCCTGGCAATTTTTTTACCATTTTCATTAAATAGGACACACATGCCTTGTTGGCTCGAGAAGGCTACATCTCAATTAGAAGATGCTAGAAGCATCACTAGTAGCCAGGATGACATATTTCCCCCGAGTCAGAATCTCTAATGAACTAGTGTCATCCTCATGGAAAGGGCAGTGATTTGGCTATGGCTCTGTGGTCTGAGAGTAAAAGGATAAACAGCCCTCAGCCTCTCACTCATCTACCCCACCACAGGCCTGTGCCCAGCAGGCCTCTTACCTGAGTGATCATTGGAAAACCCATGATGAAGAAACAAATGCAACAGCCCAGAGTAAAGACTGGCTTGTGTGTGCGCAGGTACTTGGGGAACTCATCCGAGATGGAGGTCACTATGGTCTCAATGGTGGCAAACTGGAACAGGGCCAAGAAACAAACATCTGAGTCAAACTGTCCCATTCAAAAGGCCCCCAAAAGCCCTATGTATGTCCCACCAGGAAAAGTCATATTTGCATTAGGCTTGGTTTTTAGATTGGCATCCCTTCTATGGGTCAGAAAGCCCTTATTGGGGCCCAACCCACAGGTCAACCAAAAGAACTCAAGCAAGATGTGAGCTTTAGAAATTGGACTTCCAGTCCCCAGAACATTCACTGTCAGGACATTTTAAGCTTCATTTTGTATTCATGAGATGTAAATTCCTCTCCTCCAGTTACCTCACTTTCAATCTTCCACTTGAGGAAAAACTCTCTTTGCACCCAGTGACTAAACTCTGAGTGCCTGTCAGCATGATCTGTAGTAGGCTCATCCCCACAGCAATTTCCCTAAAATTGATTTCATACTATTCTCCCTTACCTAGCCCCATAGAATTTGCTTTGGAAAAATAATGCCAAGGCAGCAAGCATGCAGGCTAAAACTTGGCACAAAGAGAGGGAACAACAGAGAAGAGGATGGTTTCTTACACCACTGCATGACACTCTGAGCCTTAGACCGGTACTTCCCCATCCCTACATCATTCAGGGAAAAGCCTCAGGATCCAGGATCTTCAGAAGGAGCCTGGGACAGGGATGGGAAGGCGGGGAAGGGGGGCTCACCATAGTATCAAGTCCAAGAGTAAGGAGCATCAGGAAAAAGATGATAGCCCAGAATGGAGAGAGGGGCAGCCTGGTTAAGGCTTCTGGGTAAACCACAAATGCAATGCCTGGCCCTGGAAGAAACAAAAGAAATGATTGCAGGCAAGATAAACTCAGAGTCCCACTTCCCAAAGACCATAGGGCCTTCTCTCCACTGAGATTCTGAATTGTTCCTTATGTTGATTTCACTGTTTCTTTTTTTTTTTAACTCATCTCTGCTTTTTCCAATTTGACCAGGCTATCTCTCATGCAAATAACATGATAAACTGCATTTTTCCATTGGATGAGTTGGAAGTGAATAAAATAATTACCTTCTAGAACAGTCACTGATAAGCCCCCAAGGCTTATGTTGGCAATGTCTGGAGATGTTTTTGACTCTTACAAGTGGGATGGGGTGGGATAGTTACGGCATGTAGTGAACCCAGGGATGCTATTAAACATCCTCCAATGCAGAGGAGAGTCTCCCACCAACAAAGGATTATCTGACCCAGTGTCAGTAATGCTGAAGCTAAGAACCACTGCTCTAGGCTAGAACATGACCAGAATGACATTTTTTCCCCCTTTCACTACACTTTCTCAAGGAGAACCATTCATATGAAACATGACACTCTCTAACACTTTAGGGGTCTTTCCCTACTTGGTGAAGATGAGGCTACATCAGTTCACTGGAAAAGAAGGGCAATGAAATATGACATGGGGCTATGTTTAGTCTCTAAGGGTCAGACAGATCTGATCCACATCCAGATTCATCACTTACAGGTATGCAACCCTTAACAACTTACTTAATTTCTACAAGCCTCAATTTGCCTATCTGAAAAAAACTGTGCTTCACAATGTGATCAGGAGGATAAATGAAAGCACACAGGTAACACACCGATCAGCAAGCCTTGAGTATCATCAACACTCACAGAACGTTAGTGCTTATTATGCATGGACCATGAACTTGGCAGTTAGCAGTTCTGACTCCAGTTTTTGTCAGAATACCACATACTGTTCTGGTGTAGGTATCTAAGCTTCAGTTTTGTTCAGCTATCTTAAAGCTTTAAGGTCTCAGGGGGGAAAATCACCATAGCCAAACATGGCTAAAGACACGGCAGGTGTGAACTCTCCTGTAAGTAGAAGACTAAATGATAATTTGAAGACATAAGTGAGCATGGCACAGGGATAGTCCAATCCAGCGCACATCTGGAAACCAGAAATCCCAGCACTCAGAGTTTTTATAATTCAAGCATAACAGCACTTTTAAAACTGGAATTTATCAGGTTGTTAGTTCCTAATGTTGCCTAGGGCCTGAGGGTCCTTAAAATATAAAGCCTCTGGATGCCTAAGACACTCTGGGTTTATGCATTTATTGAACAGACCGTACAGCCAGCCTCCAAAGGCTCCCTGTGTGAACAATAAAAGAAAAGTCTGTATTAAACCAAAGTTCAAAAGTAAGTCTAGAATGCAGAACAACAAAGAAGTCATTGCAGGGCTGGCAACAGTCAGACCCATGAAGTTGACAAGAAGGTCTTGAATGGCCACCACCGGCGGACCTCAGTGGATCACTTAAACAGGATTCAACCCTTTGAGTATTACTACTTTGAAGGGCATTCAATTCAAAATGTTCAGAATGCTTCATCAGCAATCTTCTTAATACTCAAGAAAAGCACTTGTTTCAAGCTATATTATAGCAAATGTCACTTATCCAGGGTGTCTAGGGAGTGGAGTCATCTAGTGAAGAAGGGGCTAACTCCCTTTCCTCTCTTCTGCCACTGGGAGGCAGTGCATCCAGTGGCCTCTTCCTAACTGTGGAACTATGGGTGAGTCATTTGTTCTGTCTGGATAAATAAACCTTAGTTTCCTTTTCTATAAATGGGAATAATGATGGGACCAACCTTCAAAGCATTCTGCAAGAATTAAAATGTCAATATAAGTAAAGGACTAAGAACCAGCCTGAACATAGTAGGAACTCAGTAAACACAGACCTTTATTACTCTTCTCTTGAGTATCTACAGGGCTCTGTATTTCAGCAAGTAGCTGAGATGCCACAGTGACAGCCTCCTATATCCTAGAGCACCACTAAAGACAAGACAAGTGCCTGGACAATGCAATACATCAAGACCCACAGCCCAGCTTGGGTGGCCACTATGCTAACTCCAAATAGCTGACCTGTACTTTTCAGTACCTCCTTTAAGCCAGGGAAAATAAGATAAGCTTGTGAAGCACATGTAAGAACATATGCGAATTTCCTAAGAGGTCTGGGAGAAGGTGTCAGCTGGCTGCTGCTCCCCCTCCTAGGAAATGAAGCCAGCTGTCCCTGTGCCAGAGACCAAGTATTAACACAACAGGTTAGAACCTGTCAGAAGTGCTCTTCTCTACACTAAGTCAGAGGAACTGAAAAATACTGGAAAAGGGAAATTTCAGAGAGAAATATAGCCAACTATCTGCTACTTTTTACAGAGGATAAACAAAATTCTGACTTTTAGCAATATCTCCTCTCAAATGCCCTTCTTAGTCAGGAAACTGCTCACAGCAGTTAACTTATGTGGCCCTCATCATGGGAATCACTATTTCTAGCAGCTTGGCCACAGAATCCTAAAGAGCTCAGTAATGGCACAAAAAATACCAAAACACCTCAGATCTGCTAGAAAGTGGGTCAGAACCTACTTGCTTCATCAACTCTGCTGGGAGAAAATGAGGTTACAGGACAGCTGGGGCTGGCTCAGGCACCCCTGAGAACATAGCCTTCTCACCTTCTCTACTTGCTTCACAGGGAGTTCAAGAATTCTCAACCAGGTAAAAGCATTGCTTAGCTCCCAGGGCCCCTCTAATTTAGTGCACTGCTGCAGAACTAAATATCCCTCTGGGTTGCACTCTCTCTCTAGGGAGAGATAATTATACCCTGGAACATGCCACCAGCTCTTTAACTCTTTGAGGCTCTAACAGACCAAACCGAAGCAGTAATTAATTATCCTTGGGGAGCTAAACGAAATCAGTCAGCCCACCAAAAAGGTGACATTTCTAGAGCTTGGTTCTCAGTGGAAGAATCAGGGCCATTGTCTGAGAGCAGCAGTGAGTGTCTTAAAGAAAGATGACTGCACAGGCAAGTACCCCTCAGGTACACCTCTAGATGGCCAAGGGCTCACAGCTGTGCCCCTCAGCACCTGACCCAGTTCCCACATAGTGAAGAACCCCATAAATGCCTGATTAGAGACCATAATGGTAAGCCATAGCCACAATGAAGTCCCTTGATCACCAAAACCTTGTAAATAACCAAATCCTTTTAGAACCAGGCTGGGTGGAAATAGAGTTAAATAAAAATCTTAAATATTCTCTCCACAAATGCTGTCCTAGAGATATGGATTAAATTAGATAAAAATGAAAGCTCTTTGTAAACTCAAAAGCACCATACAAATGTTATCCGTTAATATAAGAATCATTTGTGTAGAAAGTAATCATTTATTCCACAATCCCCCTCAACCCTCCACCCCTCGCCATCCAATCTTTCCACTCAGCGGGAAAACTTGCAGGTCTGCATTGCTAACTAAGCTGAAGGTCTTGAGAACTCACTTGACCTAACAATCGAGAAAGTGCTTTGTAAGGAAAAGGCTCTCCTGAAGTCAGAGCTCGTTAAGCATCAGTGCTCCGGTTCCACAAGGCCCTCTATGAGCAATGGCATCCAGTGGCAGGCTGTGCCCACAGCAGCTCCAGGGGCACTGGTTTGCCTAATGAGTCCTGTACTTGTGTCTAACAGGTATGACAGGTATAGACCTCACTTACTCAGGCTGTGGTGGAATTAAGAGGAGCAGGGGAAGATGAAGGACAGGAAAGAGAAAGGGGAACTGTGGTGGTTCAAACAAATCCTCTGGCTAGAGACAAGCCCGCTCCAACTCTGCAGGGAGCTTCCTACTAGAGCCTGGCTAAGGCACATGGGTTCTTTCATCGTCCGCCTGTTTCAGAAGGGCAAATTCTGGACATAACATAAATCAGGAACTTGTGACACAAGCCTGAATCTGCCCAGAAACAGCAGGGTAACAACCACCGTGTACCTTGGTCAGCCACATTCTCAATGTTGACTTTGCGTTCGTTAGCCATGAAGCCGATGACGGAGAAGATGACGAAGCCAGCAAAGATGCTCGTGGCACTGTTGGTGCAGGTTACAATTAGAGTGTCCCTGGAGAGAAGAGACCAGAGTTTGTCATTAGGTGTGCTTCATGAAGGGGAAAAGCAAACAAATGTATGCCATGTGTTTCTGCTCATATATGTATGTGTGTACATGTATGTACGTGTCATTTGTAAACACTTATCCACCCAATGAAAGCATCAAGTATTCCTGACTACAGCCTCCCCTCGGCTGATTTGAAAAGCACCAAAAGAACAGGACGTCGTGGCTAACACCTATAATCCCGGCACTCAGCACTCAGGGTGCTGAGGTAGGAGGCTTATGACTTCCAAGCCAGCCTAGACTATGTAGCAAGACCCATCCCAACTCTGCAAAAACAAAAACAAAAAACACCAGATGACTCAAAAAGGTCTCACTTAATTCCCTGATCCAGGATCTTTGAGACAAAGCTCAGGTTCTACATGATTACAACTGTGTTTCAACTTATCTGCTATAGTCTGAAGGATTGTTTCTCCCTCAAATTGATATATTGAAACTTAATCTCCAATGTGACCGTTAAGGGGTGGGGCCTTGGGGCATCGATTAAGTCATGATGCCTCTGGTCTCATGAATAAGATTAGTGCCGTCATAAAAGGAAGTGTGCTGCCCTCTGTCATGAGAGGATGCAGCAAGTTGCCATCTTTGGAACTGAGCGTCAGCCCTCACCAGACACTAAATCTTCTGGCACCTTGATCTTGGACTTCCCAAACTCTGGAACTGAGAGCAATAAATTTCTGTAGCTTATAAATTAGCCAGTCTAAAGTATTCTGTAATTGCAGCCCAAATTGTCTAAAATATCCCAGTGGAAGAGAAAGTCTGTCCATCAGAGCAGAGATAGAGATGCTCTAGAACCTTGGGAAGCTCTGGGACAGAACCAAGTGTGAGGAAAGAGAAGGCAATGGGACAGAGTAATGTCACCAAGGTATGAGGTCATCCTGATGCTGGGACACACAAGACTAAGAAGGGCGGAGGAGCAAGGAGCCAAGCATCTCTAACTTCATCTCAGAACCCTCTGCTGATAATGTAGCCTGAGTTTCCCAGCCTTCCCTGAACAGCCATCCTAGACTCAAATGTGAAATCTCAGGGCTTCACTGAAATCCAGGTTCTCCTCTCTGTTAGTGACAAGGCTCTAAACAAGCCACTTCCTTTCCACGCTGATTTAAAATGGTGACAATGACCTTACCTCTCTCTTTGGTTGCTGCACATACAGAATGAGATGATGCCTGCATCACCCTCAGCCTGGCACAGAGCAAGTGTGCAGTGAACAATCCACCTTGGTTGGCCCCTTAGTTTACAGATGACGAAACTGAAGCGCAGGGAAAGGGTAACAGATGGTTAATGGTGAGTAGGATGGTTAGTCTTGTTTGTCAACTTGAATGGATTGAGAAATGCCTAGGAGAGGCACACCTCTGAGTGAGTCTGTGATTGTGTTTCCAGAGCAGATTAAGTCATGAGGGCTCTGACTTAATGAATGAATGAATCACTGGATGGATACATCATGTGATGGCATTGTTGGGAAGTGCAGATAGGTAGGAGGTGAGGCCTAGTTGGAGGAAGTAAGTCACTGGGGGCATATCTTGCCCTGGCCGCTCCTTGGATCCTCTTTTCTCTGCTTCCTGACTGTTTTGACGTGAACCACTCTGTCCCATCATGCCCTCCCAATCATCATGGACTAACACCTCTAAAACTGTGAACCAAAATAAATCTTTCCTCCTTAAGTTGTTCTCTCAGATATTCAGTCATAGTGGCAATAAAACTGACTAATACAGTGAGTCAGGATTTGAACCCAGACTTTCCAGCTCTCAGCCTGGGATCTTTCTGCCACAGCATGCAGTCTCATTTCCAATGAGGCATGCCTTAATGCTTCACCCTTTTTCAGGCTGATTCAGGTCAACAATTAATGAGCAGTGTGAGCAAAGTAGTTCAAACATCTTAGTCTGGTATTCATGGCTGTCGTGAGCTAAGTTGTGCATTCCCTACACCCCACAAAAAAAATTCATGTGTTGAAGGTCTAGTCCCCAAAAACCTCAGAATATGTCTTATTTGGAGAGAAGGTCTTTAAAGGATATCAAGTCAAAACAAGATCATTAGTTTAGACCCCGATCCAAGTATCTTTATAAGAAGAGGAGGTTAGGACACAGTTACACTGAGAGAGAAGACCATGTGAGAATATTAGAAGACAGCCATCTACAAGTCAAAGAGAGAAACCTCAAAAAAACCCAACTCTGTCAACACCTTAATCTTGGACTTCTAGTCTAACTTGTGGAACAATAAATTCCTGTGGTTTAAGCCTTCCACTCTGAAGTATTTGTACAGCAGTCCTCACAAACGAATACAAAGATTCTGTCTAGTCTGGCTCAGTCAACTCTCAGCCCCCTTTCCTCCTAACTCCATGTGCATACACCTTCTGCTCCAATCCTACTTAATGCTCCTTCCATGTACCCCATCCCACTCATTCCTACTCATTTCTACCTCAGGCTATTTCTGCCACCTGAAATACACTCCCTCCCCCTCTGCATCTGCTGAAATTCAGCCCAGTATAAATCTTACTTTATGAGGTTTCTCTCAGACATTCCAGGCCACTGCTCAACTGTCATCTTTTCCTCTAGCTTCAGAGATGCTTACAGAAAATTTGACCCTAAGTCAAAGCTCTCACCATATCAGGAGATATTCCTATGGCAGCTGCTATGGACTAATTATCCATCCAAACATGGCCTGAGCTCACCATACGTGGTTGCTAGAATTGCTTTATTCATCACCTACAAAGTAGGAGCTGAAACTGCCCTGAAAATGGGAGCACTGCTGCACCCCTCCATGGCCAAGTGACTGGAGGTATTTAAGCCCAGGGACATCCATGTTCTAATGTGACCATCATTAATCTTCACCCTCAAAGGTGTGATATGAAGAGTTTGGCCATAAGAAGCTGAGTGTGGGCACTGCAAGGCTCCATGTTCTTGTTACTGTGCCTAGGGCTTTGCTCCCTGTTCCACAGTCTTTCTTTCATTTAAATTTTTCAGTGTATATTATTGTACAATATAAAGTTTCATTATGACATTTCCATGCTTGCATATAATGTATTTTGATCTTATTCATCCCCTTTGTTACTCATTCTTCCCCTCCTTCTCCCCTCCTTCATTTCTCTTTCCCCTTCCATCATTTTCTTAAAATCAAGCAAACCTGTGTTCAATAAGCCTATTGTCTTGTGAGTGTGACTGATGAATCTGAACCCACACCTCTGACCTTGTCCCTCTTCACCTAGACCTTAAGTTATTTGAGGACAGGGACATGTTTTGAATTTTTCTGTCTCTTCTTTGGTTCACAAAATATCCTACACACTGTTTTAAAGATAATAATAACAATAATAGTAATGGCAACTTGCATTTACTGAGCACCTACTATATGCAAAGTATTGCTCTGATAACTTTGCATACATCATCTGTTGCCCCTCAACAAAATGTTGTAATCTGTGTTTTTCAGATGAGAAAACAGATCCACAGAGGACTTATCTTGCCCATGTCTTCAGTTTTAGTACGTTAATGAAGTTATGATCAAATGGCTTCTGACTGACTCCAAGGTACTCTGTTCACGTACCATGCTGCTGCCTTTCCTATAGAAAAGGATATTTCTCTACAGAAATATTTCTCAAGTAATCAGGGACCACATTCTATATTCGACTGCTATAGATTTTATATGCAGGCGAAGTGGTTCATAAATGACTGTCACAGGACACAGGGGCTGAATTGCATCCTATAACTAGGCTCTGAGCCCTCACTGGTGTCACTGTCAATAGTGTAAGTTGGGGTCCAGAAGTTCATGTCTAGGCCTTGGCAGGTGGTTTCTCCTAGACCAGAGGCAAATCTCTTAGGCTGTGGTCTCAGGTGTCTTATATTTCAGTCATTGCTCTCTCTCCTCTGACCCTAATTTCATTCACCGGTTACCTCTGGATCTTGGATGTGCTTCCACATACCTGTAACAGTTGTTGTGAAATTTGTTGTAAGAAGAAAGAGTGATCAGACCTCCCCAGGCAGCAGACAAAGAGAAGAAAATCTGAGTGGCAGCATCTTTCCACACCTAGGAAGCAAAAGCAAAGAAGAGTCAAGGTCACTGAAGGAGACTGACCTTGGGAGGGAAGTCTCGTATGCGCAAAGCCACATCATCTTTCCAGAGGAAAGGTGGTCAGGGACAAAGTGACTGCGAATACAAACATAAATGAAAACTATACCTCGCTTGTGCCCAAGGCCAAAAGGCAGTAGATGACCTTGGAGATTTAAATTCCCTCTCACAGAAGGTGAGGAACTTGGTACGCATGTCTCATGCTTACATGGTCTATCATGTAAAACCAGACAGAAGGGGAGAGCCCTTTCTTCAGTTCAATACACTCCAAAAGAACGATTTATAACTCCTGCTAATGAAATCCTGAAATTCTGTAGCGCCTTATCATAGTAAAGCTATCTCAGAGCCACACAGAGTGGACTTCAGAGTGTGACATCCTCCCTGAGGTTGGCCCCAACACCTCTTGGTTCTTTTAGGTCATTCCTCCTGATTGTCCTCATAAAATTCCAGTCACTCAAGAGTTTAAGATAAGATGGGCAAAGTGGCTCAAGTGGTAGATCACCTGCCTAACAAGCACAAGACCCTGAGTTCAAAGCCCCGTACTGCAAAAATAAATAAATAAAAAGTTTGACCTATAGACTTTTTCATGATTTATATGGTGGACATCCTATCATCTTTACAAATTAAATTCTGTTTTAAATTATACTTAAAATATGCAAAGAGAAAGTTCAAGTGTGTACTAAGGCTGTGCTTGCCACAACATCCATTCTTCCTGATCTCAGAAACAAAGATATGATTTGTTCTGAGGGAGGTGGAGCTAAGGGATAATCAAATGCCTTCGTTTCTGGCCAATTGTGTGAAAATTCTCAGAAAAATGAGAACCTGGGTCCCTGATGAAACCATGGAGCCACTCAACTTGTCCTTGACTGTCTACCAGGAGAGTGGCATAAAATTTATTTTAAGCTGATATTATCTGGAGATTTTCTGTTACATGCAGCCAAATTCAATCCTAGCTACATGTTCTTAACATACTCTGGAAAAATCAGAGTTTTCTTTAAGGTAAGAAAATTCATCTCTCATTAAATAATCACCCTTTCATTTGGAGGTTTTTGGATTGTGAACTTTAGAGAAAGATGTGTCTATATAGATTATATGCAAAGAGAAAGCTCAATGTGTGCTGGTGCTTTGTCAGTGTGCAAGAAGTATTCAAATGTTTCTGAGATCTGTAAAAAATGATACAATTGGCCTGGAGCCAATAGCTCATGCCTGTAATCTCAGCTGTTTAAGAGACTGAGCTAAGGAGGCTTGCAGATTGAAGCAAGTCTGGTCAAATAGTTCACAAGATCTCATCTCTAAAATATAAACAGAGCAAAATGGACGGGAGAAGTGGCTCAGGCAGAAGAGCTCCTGCTTTGCAAGCTTGAAGCCCTGAGTTCAAACCCCAGTCCCACCAAAAAAAAGAAAAGAAAAAAAGACAGAATTGCCTGTAGTTTACCTCCATGCTATTATTTTCCAACCAGCAAAACTCTTACTTCCAACATACTATAGTTAGTAACAGATAAGTGGTAGGCAGTGGCCCAAAATTATTAAAGGAATTTCACAAGACTGCATCTGTAGCTCAGCTACTCCAGGAATCTGAACATGCTCAGCAAGCCACTTCCTCTTAACTACTTCCTGGGTGCATCATGTACCAAAATCATCAGGATCTTGTAGAAGCGCAGGAGATTCCCTGAGTCCTTCTGTCAAACAGTATCACTGAGCATGACCCATGCTAAATGCCCCCTCCCAGGGTCTGCTATACATGAAACAATAAGCCCACCGTGGCATCCGTGAGTTTCTCCCACTTTGGTGTGATGAAGTACCAGATTCCAGCTCCAGCTCCTGGCAGGGTAACTCCTCGGATGAGGAGAATCACCAGCACGACATACGGGAACGTGGCCGTGAAGTACACCACCTAGAAGAGCCGGGGAAGAGAAGTGGGATGAACAGACCACAGAGCACTTCCCTGCAAAAGGAGCATCACCTAGACAAGAGAGGACCTGCCACCCAGACACCCAGACATCTGCACCTAATTGTGAGTTCTCCCCAGACTTTGCCAGGGCTGGGGACACAGGGAGGTACCAGGACCAAGGGAAGTATTGGGCCAGAAATAATTGCCTCCAGTGGTGGGGGTGGGGAGAGACTCAAGACTGTGGGGTCCAAAAGTCTGGGGGGAAATGTCAACCTGTCCAGACACTAAGTGGGCAACTCCTTGAGGAGCTACAAGGGAAGGAGGCTCCGTGCCTCCCTCCCCCAAAATTCCTACCCACCTTCTAATGCACCTTTTTAGCTTAAGCCTTCCATCCCTGCTTATACAGGCACCCTCATTGAGGCCAACCAGTGAGATGAATCTTAGAATTGGACACATTTGGGTTCAAATGCAATCAGCTCTCTGGCACTGAGTAATTGTGTGACCTCAGACAAGTTATTAAGCTCAAGAATCTCAGTTTCTGCATCTGTAAGGTGGGGATAAAAGCACCTTTCTTAGAAATAGTCGTGAGGATTAAATGCACTGGTGTATGGCTGGCGTCTATCTATTTTTTTTCTTATTTTATTATTCATATGTGCATACAAGGCTTGGGTCATTTCTCCCCCCTGCCCCCACCCCCTCCCTTACCACCCACTCCGCTCCCTCCCTCTCCTCCCCACCCCCTCAATACCCAGCAGAAACTATTTTGCCCTTATTTCTAATTTTGTTGTAGAGAGAGTATAAGCAATAATAGAAAGGAACAAGGGTTTTTGCTGGTTGAGATAAGGATAGCTATACAGTGAGTTGACTCACATTAATTTCCTGTGCTTGTGTGTTACCTTCTAGGTTAATTCTTTTTGATCTAACCTTTTCTCTAGTTCCTGGTCTCCTTTTCCTATTGGCCTCAGTTGCTTTTAAGGTATCTGCTTTAGTTTCTCTGCGTTAAGGGTAACAAATGCTAGCTAATTTTTTAGGTGTCTTACCTATCCTCACCCCTCCCTTGTGTGCTAAAGCTTTTATCATGCGCTCAAAGTCCAATCCCCTTGTTGTGTTTGCCCTTGATCTAATGTCCACATATGAGGGAGAACATACGATTTTTGGTCTTTTGGGCCTGGCTGGCGTCTATCTATAACAGGTGGTCATCAAATGCAGTTAAGTTCCACAGGCATTTATTGAGGGCCTCCTATGAGCTGGCTGCTGTGCCAGACACCAGCTGCACAGAGACAAAGGGACTCATGATGCAGAAGTCACAGAGGCAACGTTTCAACAATGGGCAAAGCAGTTACACACAGGACACTGCAGAAGTTCACGGAAAGGTGCTGTGCCCAGCCTGGGAGTTTCTATAAAATTCATGGAGATGACTCCTAAGCTGGATCTTAGAGGTCAAGTGGTGCAAGGTGGGAAGGTGAAGGAAGAAAGAAGGCAAGGCAGATGTGCAGGGGCAAATCACTACCCACTCAGCATCAAGAGAGCATAAAGTCAAGGTCAAGAGTGTAGAGAGGGGAGACCAGATAGACTGGAGGAAACACATTTAGAAGGCCCTGAATGCAAATAGGATACTTCTGGATTCTGGAAGAGAAGGAGGGATCAGTGTCAAGAAACACTTGGGCAGTAACATCAGCAGAACTTGGAGACTGGATGGGGATGAGTGGAAGGTATTTCCTTCCTTACCTGTCAATCAAGCCTCAGGGTGAAGGAAGGGCTTGGGATAAAACTTGATAGACAGAAGAAAAGAGTCAAATATGAGAGCACAGGCTTTATGGTCACATGGGACTGAGTTCAAATCCTCACTCTACCACTTACAAGCTGGGTTACCTGGAGAAGTGGCTTAACCTCTCTGTCAGTGTCCACACCTGTCCTCCTCATTGGTGACACTGGAAGAGTACAGTGGGACAATCCATACAAAGAGAAACAGGACTAGGGGCACTGGAAATACAGTGCCACTCAGAGCCAGGCCTAGGACTCACCAGCCCTAAATTGAGTAACACTGATAACCCTCAGCTCACAAGCAAGTTACATCCCAAAAATGCATCACAAGACACTTGGGAAGATGAGGCTGTGCTCCCATGCCACCCACCAAAGCCCTCTCTGCTGGTTTGAAGCTCCCTTCATTCCTGCCTGCAGTCCTGGGGTAACTGGATGGAACACCTGCCCCCATGAGTGGATGCAGAGACCCTGCCACCTGATACACAGACTCAAGCACCTGGCAAGGGGGCTGCAGCCTGGATGAGATGGCAGGCCTTGGGATTTCAGGGATGATATGGAACTTGCAAGGGAGACAGGTTGCAAAAGGTCAGAGTTGGGATTAAAATATAACTCCTGGCAGCAAGGCATGGTAGGGAACACTTGTAATTTCAGCACATAGGTAACTGAGGCAGGGGGACCATGAGTTTGAGACCAGCCTGGACTACATTAGCAAGACCCTGTCTCAAAAAAAAGGAAGAGGAGGAGGAGGAAGAAGAAAAAGAAGAAGGAGGAGGAAGAGGAGGAGGAGGAGGAAGAAGAAGAAGAAGAAGAAGGAGGAGGAGGAGGAGGAAGAGGAGGGGGGAGGAGAAGAAGAAGAAGAGGAGGAGGAGGAAGGCTGGATGTGATAGCTCACATCTGTAATCCCATCTACTTGGGAGGTGGAGATTGAAAGGATCACAGTTTGAGGCCAGCCGGAGCAAAAAGATAGAGAGACCATATCTCAACCAACAAGTGGGGCATGGTGGTTCACATGTGTAATCCCAACTACTCTGAAGACATAGGTAAGAAGACCAAGGTCTGAGGCTAGCCCTTGTCATAAACACAAGACTCTAATCTGAAACCAACTAAAGCAAAAAGGGTTGGGGTGTGGCTCGAGTGGTAGAGTGCCTGCCTGGCAAACTTGATGCAAAACACACATACACACATAAAGTCTGTTTCATATGCAACATGTTTCAGACTTGTATTAAAAAAAATAAGCAGCCTGGTTTCTTCCACACTTGGAACATCTTACTTATAACGGTTCTCTATGTTCTTTTAGTAGTTTCTACAGTCCCACTAAGAAGGTTTTTGAAGGTCAGGAGGCAAAAAGGACTGGGGGCATGGTTCAAGTGATAGTGCACGTGCAATCACAAGGGCCTGAGTTCAAATTCCACTACTAGCAAAAATAAAAAAGAGAGAGAGAAAAGGGGAAAGGAAAAAAAGAAAAACCTATATATATTTATGTTACATATACATATATGTGTAAAACTCCAAGAGTTATTTCACTTATTCAAATGAGTATACATATATATATATATATATACCATATAAGTACATGTGACATACATATATATAAAAAACCTGCACAATTGCATACCTGGGACACACAAATAAACAAAACAGGTGATACACAAATTGGAAAAGAAAAACACAAGAGCAGGGAAGGTCTCAGGGCATGCTGGGGAGGTTGGCAAAATGGCCACATTGAAATGCATTGCCAGGGAATCTGCACTGAAAAACAGCCAAGACTTGAAGGAGCTGGCCTCCTCTCTCCAGCGTTCCCATCACTGACAAGGACACCTTTGCAGCAGTCTCTCCTCCCTCCTGGTGCAAAAACCTCACAGTAGTAGAGATCTGGGAGGAAGAGCAGCCACCTCCCTCCTATATCCAAACCTGTTCTCCCTTTGCCTCAAAGACTGAAGGAAAAGTGAAGCCCCAGACATTACAAAATCCAAGGGCATCTGATGTCTCAGGAGAAAGTTTTGTCCCATCCCTGTCTGGTCCAAGCTGGCCTTCTAGCTGTCTAATGGGACTGGGGAAAAGGAGATGTTACAAGACAGGGCATGGTCTTGACCAGTATGACTTCCTATTCCCACCAAGACAGTAAATGAATGGGGGAACTAAAGACCACCTAGGAGGAAGCTAAGACACTAAAGAGGAAAAACAGGAGAAGCCTACAGAAGGAAACCTCAGAGATTCCTACCTCTGGGGCTGGTACCCATCTAGCCAGCTAAGACTGCCAGTCCCATTTGATTGCTGGTGACTGCTGTTTAGACACCACCACTGCTGGAGCTCACTCTGTGGACCAGGTATATTAGTCCCATTTGGCAGAGAGGAAAGCCAGGGCTCAGATTAAACATCTTATAAGGAATCAAATATCTCATTTACAGTCTTCCAGCTTGAGCCAAGATCCCAACTTTTCTTACTTCAAAGCTATTTTTTTCCTTAAAGCCATTCTAAGAGTGACATGATCAAAAGTGAGGGGGTGGGGGGCTAGTGTGAGGCTAGTGAGGCACCTAAGGTACAAAATTTAAGGAGGCACTCCTCCTGGGTGCCACCCCAGCACTTGTAGGAACCTGAGAGTGAGGGCTTCCCTAAATTTTCACTTGCTTGCCTTGCCCTGATCCTGGCCCCCAGGGCAGGTGATGCATTCATTCACTGTATAGATGATGATCTTGGTTAGCTGAGATGGCTGGACACAGTTTGGCTTGAAAATCCTGAACCTGCCTCCAGTGTGAATGAAGAATATGTGGGGGCTTTATGCACAACTAGTTCCTGGGTCCAGTGAGCTTCGGGACGCACCTGTTTCAGGATGTACTGTCAGAGGAATTACACTTGCACAGTAATGAATTATGCTTGGCAGGAGTGACAATAACTAGTTGATCCCAGCCTGTTGGCCTGACACCTTGAGGCATCCTCCTCACAGCAGGAGCCCTGAACAGGTGGTAAGGCCCCACTAGCCTGCACTAGCTAATTAGGTTAGTTTTGCTCTGTTGCTGTGTCTTTTAGACAGAGCAGCCCCTGAGGCCAAGAGGGCTTCATTTGACCTTCAGGCTGCCTATGGTTCCTGGTCTCTGGATTTCTTGCTGCCAGGAGGCCTCACTCTCAGCAGAAGCAATGGGCCATTTCCTTCTCCCCAGGCCTACACAAGAGCAACTGAGCTTCTCTGACTGTGACTGCCAGAAAAGGAGGACAGCTAATGGCACAGGACAGTATGTGTG